GACAAAGTGGGGAGCAGAACAGGCAGACTGACAGAAATACACTACTGAGGGGAGCAGCGGGCTAGACAAGAGAGGTCTGCTGTGCCATGTGGGTAGCTCCCTGGCCAGGGATTGAACTTGAGCTGCCCCAACTGCAGACAGATTCATAGGTTGCATCTTAACCCCTTATGCCACCAGGGAGGCCCAATATCAAGTAACTTTATGAAGAGTTGAAGGAGATTGAAGCTGCTGAGAATGTAGAGAACAAAAAATTTCCTATTTCTCTACAACCTGTGAACTGAATGCTGAAATGTCAAATTCCAGCCTTTCCCACTGTAACCAAACATGTTTTTCTAAGTCCCTATTCTCCATAATGAGTCATGCTGTGTGCAAGGAATGGAGAATAATTATATTAACTAAGCAAGATGTCATAAAGTGCATAAGTATTTTATAAAAAAACAAAAAACATAGACTGCATTTTTGAGGCAAAAATAAAGAGCTTTCAATATTCATGTCCTCCTTAATTGAGAGATCGCCTAACATTTACTAATATATCAATTCCCTAATATTTATAAAAACTATCTAAAAATGATGTGATAAAAAAAATTCAGAAGACTCCTTAAACATACATCAGCCTTTTACCATGTTTGTAAAAAGACATTGCAAATAAGTATTTTAATATTGAGCACAGGGTATAAAGGGACAAATAAGTTTTACACTCATGACTAATTTCTTAGCAATATGCTCCAAGATGGAGTCACAATTTTCACAATCAATTAAAAAAAGTAAATTAGGATAAAGCCGTATCCTATGCTATGTTATGATCCTTGAAACATTAAAAGAATAGTGATGTTCTGTTTGATTTGATTGGTGTGAACTTGAACTGGACAGGCCAAAACTCCTGGTGAGACAGCTTAGAAGTAAATTTCTACATAATACTGTCGGCCAAAGGGCCTCCCCTGCTGGCGCAGCCGTTGAGCGCTGGGCTGCAAAGCTGCCCGCAGCCTCTGCAGCACCAGTTTGATCCCCGGCCGCCAGCAAGGGTCCCACATGGCATGACAGACCTCTTCTGTCTCACCTGCTGCTCCCCTCAGCAGTGTATTTCGTCGGTCTGCTTCTTCTGTTCCCCACTCTGGCTCTGGTGAATCCTCTCACCCTCCCATGCTTCTGACTGTACCCAGTGCTTGTATAAATAAATAAATCTTAGAAAAAAAAAATACTGTGGGCCAGAGAAATACTATAGGAACTGTTTCCTTTAAACAAGGGGAACAAAAGTCAAAGTTAGAGGAGTTGTGGAAGAACAAATCATAAAGGAATGGATGCAGTGACTTTAGTTTTGAAAAAAAGACAACTCTGCCTCCTCTAAACAAGAAGCAAAGAAGGAAAGGGAGTAAGAGGAGAATGAGGAAGAACTTGTAGCACATTCATAGTGAAAAAAAGGTGAGTGCCCAAAGGTTTTCTTTGGATCAAAGTGGCTTTGACAAAACTTAAGACAAAGACTTTTAATCTTCTCTGTAAGGAGAGTGTCATATGCTTAGAGAGACTATATTGGAGAATATATTGGTGGTCTTAGTCTTAAAACCATTTAGAACAGTGGCTGTGAGTTATACAATATGGGAAAAAAATAAGAAGAGAATGGGAAAGGAGATGGGAGCTCTGAGCACCCAGTTGAGATGGGAAACCATAGAGGTAGTATGTTTTCATTAGCTGGAGAGGAAAGAAAATATGAATTGCAGGTAGTTCAGGAAAGGCAGACAGCCACTTACAAGGGTCTGTGGGGACAGCACTGCCATTGCCCTTAATCAAGCTGAATTGAGACAAGGAATAAGACAAGGAATAAGCCTCAGAACATTCAAGGCCAGAGAGAGGTTTCAGAAGGGATGGGAACCAATAGGGTGGTGGCAAGCACAGGCTATAGATAAAGACAGAAAAGAGAAGGTATAGTAATTTATGTTAGAAATCGGTAAATTAAGTTAGGAATCATTATCATCAAACCATTAAGTAAAAATACATATTATATATAAAGTAATATAAACATACATATAAAGTAATGTACATATATATATATCAAGAAGAAAGCTCAATGAACACATTTGGAAGAGAATGATAATAAAAATACAAAATATCAAAAGTTGCCAGGTGCAGCTAAAAGAATTCTTAGAAAAAGATGTTTTTAAATGCATGTGTTAGAAAAGAAGTTTGAAAATTAATGATGCTAAGGAGATAGAAAAAATAATGAGCAAGCTAAAAATTAAGATATGATTTGTTTATACAGAAATGAAATATCAATTAGTCAATGTAGCAAAGTCCTTTATATAAGGTAAATCTACAAAATTAATTCTACTTCTACAGGTAGAAAATGAAGTAATAAGTTATTTATGAAAATCAAACCATTTCAAATGCATAAAAGTAAATCTTATAAAATGTACAGTATATATAGACATAAAATATAAAACATTTTGAGAGCAATTTTTGTTATTTCATGAGTATTGTTGAAATTTGATAAGTTGGCTAGAATTTTCTATAAATGAAATGGACTGAAATCAGCTAAAATAGTTGTGAAGAATGATGATGAGGGAAGAACTATATCAAATATATATTAAAATATCTTTAAAAACTATATTAGCTGGTAATGTTTAACACTGTACTAGCTGACCCATGTAAATGATAGAGGCTAGTAAGAGATCAGTGTGTTTACAGATAATTGATTTATGACAAAGGTGTGTAGTAAAGCAATGCAGAGAAGTTTCATAACAAATAAACTCTGGCCCGTATTTCACATGAAATTCCAAAAGAATTTTACATCATAATGTAAAAGACAAAAGTAAATCTACAAAGCAATGTGTGAGAATAATTTCATAATCTTGGAGAAGAAATTCATAAACAGACATAAAATACTTTAAAATTACACAAGTACATAAAAGGCACATAAAATACACAAATACATACAGATCTTAGAAAAGTTAGACAATTATGAATTTCTGTTCACTGAAAGATGTTAAGAAAGTTAAAAAGGGAAGCTACAGGATCAGAAAAGATATTGTCAACAAACACAAGAATCAAAAAGAACATATAGGTCTGCTAGGAATCATTAAGAAATATATAGCCAATTTAATAGAAAAAAAGAAAAGGTAAACAATTGAACAGTCACCTGGAACTGGATATCCAGTAGTTGAGGAACATAAGAGGTACTCAATTTCACTATTTATTAGAAAAATCACAAAGAAGGAGATCAAAACCCACTCAGTATAATGGCTAAAATGAAAATCACTGAAATATTATGATGTTCATGTGTTGGTGAGGATGTGAAATAATTTAAATATTCATCAACAATTCAAAGGGGGAAAAATTGCGGTGTAGTCCTAAATGGAATCCGATTCAACAATAAAAATAAACAAGCTGCAGTCATTTGCAACAATGTGAAAACTCACAGACATAATGTTAAAAAAGAAATAAAAAATAAAAGTATGAGTGTATTTATAAAAGTTTATATGAAAACTTTATATAAAGTGCAAAATCAGGCATAAATGAAGTTTCCTATTAGAAGTTAGGAGAATGGATCCTTTAAGTGGGAAAGGGAAGAATTATAGCTAAAAGGGGATAGAAGAAAGGCTTTCAGGATCCTCGGTATGATCAGTTTCTTGACCAGGATAGTGGTTAAATAAATTATTCACTTTGGAAAATTCCTTTTAGCAGGGGAAATTTGTTTTGTGTACTCCAGAAGAGAGCTCAATGAACACATTTGGAAAAGAATGATGATAAAAAATATAAAACATCAAAAGTTGTGAAATGCAGCTAAAACAATTCTTACATATTTCATTTTATTTTTAAAAAAAATGTGAAAAAAAGGACCATGATGGAAATTTTGACAGTAGAATCTTCTAATTTCATTGTAGTAATGTCTTAATAAAATTTCCCATTTTTTGTACTGAATAGCCTGTTTTTGGACAGACTCTGATTCTAGAATCTTGTTTAATATTAATTAACAACAAACATGGTGATGAATGCTCAGAAAAAGATATCAAATATAATTCTTCAATTTAGAGGTGCCTCTATTTTTCCTTTTTGCCCCTGGATATGCTGCACACACTAATATTTGTAAGATACCCTAAGGTTTTTCATCAGTGGCCCAGGTTATCAGTCAGTTTGACTACCCCTAAATGTAGGCAGAAAGGTTCTCAGCAGTACAGGATAAAACCGGTTCCATTAAAACTATTAATAAAAATAGGGCACTAATTTATTAAATGAAAATCCTCTGATCTGTTCACTTGTAGCAAACAGCTGTTGTTCTGTATCCTACTGAGGGCCTGGGGACCCAGTGACACTAGCAGGTCTGCCTCTGTGCACATTTCTCTCAGCTGGTCAAATAAACAGCTTCTCTATCCTCCTGTAGAGAGGCAGGGCTGCTCCCAGTTGTCAAGCTCAAATAATCCCCTTCAAACAGAATCCCTGGCAAGTTCAAAGAAAACATGCCAAACCCCACAGCTTTGGGGGATAATGGACACAAGAATGGGTTACGGGAACAGAAATAGAAAGATGTCTCGGAACATGAAACACTAACAAACTAAGCATTATTACAAATATTTCTGCCTCATCCAATGACCTTTCTCAAAAAATCAACTCCAATCAATCCCAAGTGCTTCAGTCCTGTCTTTCCATTGCATTTCATATACCAATAGTTGAAGTTCAAGTTTATTAATTGCATAAATTCTTACATATACATATATGTAAGCATATACACACATACAAATAATTTGAACACAGTGCCGTCATTCTAAATATCAGGGCACATAAAATATACTGAACTACTATTAATGCACAAATTCTGCATGAACACTGTCTGAATAGTAAATGACGTTACGAAATAATGATATAAGCAAATGGTATGACTAATAATTCATACACACAAATACAAACATATTAACTTTGTGACTGATAGAAGAAAATATTACTATTTTCAAGATTTGGAAATATGTTTCTATCTCTCATAAGTAATCAAATTTTTCTTTTCATTCCCACAGATTCCACCTCACAAGAAAACTCATCATCATCTATTTATTTACCTACCTACTAACTACCTACCTACATATATGATTATGCTTGAGAAAAGGGGGCCCACATTTAGCTGAATTAGAGACAGAATTGAATGTATGTTTCAGTGTGATTACTGTTCATAGTGAACACAGCACAAGAGCAATTTAAAATGTCGCACTACTGTGTAAACAGCATATGACTGCTTATACCCATCATTTAATTTCTGCCTTTACCCACAATGGCTTTCCTGACTTGATTATAATAAACACCATGTGGCTTAATTCCCAATCTCAGGCATTTCTTACACTTCAGAAATAGAAGACTTCTGCTTATCTCACAGGGTGTTTTAAGTATGAATTTGATAAGATGCAAAAAAGTATTTGAGTTCATTGGAGCAAAGATACATGTAAAAGAACAGTGACATCCCAGTGGCTATGGGTTTCACGTGGTGATCTTGAACTTTGCATTGGGCAGGCAGGACATGTCAGGTTTTCCCTTCACAGGAATGCCAGCCTTGACACCACAGTGCTGTGAGTGAAAATTACACTGGAATGGACATTCAACAAGGAGTCAGGAGATCCCAAAGCTTGCCATGGCTCTACTTCCAGATAATGCTGGTAAATTTTTATATGACTCCTTTTCTCTCAGAGTATCAGGTATTTTGTGTTTAAAACGAGGTAGAACTATATACTAAATGAACTTGAAGGTGGCAGCCAGTTCTAGCATTCTGTAATTCTTTGATACAGTATGATCCTTCAGACGTAAGGCATAAGAAATTGTTTTTGAAAGCAAATTGCTGATTGATGGCTTGCTAGTTAAGATTCTACCTTCATTGAAGTAGTTTTCATGGGTGATGAAGGGTATGAGTAAAGTCTTCACTTATCCTAGTAAGTGGGTTCTCCAAACTCCAAAACATACTCCTATTTACCGCTTTAACTCACCATACATTGTAAGTATATATTTGTTTAATTTTTAAAAAATTTGTCTCCTCAAAGAAAATTTAAGCTATCTTATTTACTGTTGAATATTTAGTGCTTATAATACAGCCTAGCAGATAGTAGGGCTCAAAACATATGTTGAGTGAAAGACTGAACACATCCCCAAACCATCTAATGAAGTATAGAATATGACTAGATCTGTTTAAGAGAAAGACATTTAATGGCACTAGTGTAGAATAGACTTTGAGTTTCTTGGATATGCCAAAAAGGAAAGAGGATGTGCTGGAATTAGAACAATAAAAGGTATCTGGATGTTTTCTCAGTCTAAATCACTTTTGCTAGGTCACTGGAAAGGCAAATGGCTTAAATATGATGAGATTTTGCAATAATACAAGGGGAATGGTCTTCTACTTTATATGACATGGCATTAACTCAATATAAACTTTTATTAATCCTAGAGAAATTACTTCTATTGACTGTGGTTTGATTTTTAAAAATACACAAGTGAGATGCAAATTTTCTCAAAAAATGTTTAACTTGGTGCTTCAGTCAATTTCATTTTGTGCTAAACAGTATACCATAGTATATACATTGTTACATGCTTTAGAATAATTTACATAACTTGGCTTAACAGAAAATTTAAGCCATAAGAAATGGTTTTCACAAGCTTCTCAGCATCTGCAGCTTCAACATGTGGATCCTATTTGTTATTGCTATTTATTGTGTGCATCTATTTTCAAAGATGCCAAGTTTAGCAGAATTAAAAATATGGATATCATCTGCATTTCTCCAGACCACTCTATCATAGAACAGCAATTTGTATATGGGTCAACAGGATTTTTCTTAAAGAATCTGTAGTTATATTTTATGTAGTCAGAGATTCACTGTTCCATGATGCCTTTTTTCGGGGTCATCTTGAGAACTGATTGTCACACAATGATCCAATCAGCTGTTTGATTGATCTGATTCAGTTCATCCATGGCACCTGGACCAAATGTTTCAAGGTCAGGTTATTTCTGTCTGACATTGATGGACATGGCATGGAACATCAAAGGATTAAAAAAAAAAAAAGTCTGTGATATTAAAAAAAAAAACTGCCCTGTAACAAATACATTTCCTTCTTTTAAAGATATCAGACTATTTAAACTGAACTGAATTATTTTAGCTCAATGATTTCATTTGACAGTAGTGTTTGGTATGGAGTTGTATAGCTAGTGTGGATTCTCAGTTAAATGTCTGAAAACCATAATGGTGATAATACTTCATTAAATAATTGAAATTTTGTCTTCAGGAAAGCAATCTGATGTATGATTTGGAGGAAATTATTTATCACCAAAATTAACAGAGAATTTACAGATTCAAACAACAAACAGAATACCTTGCTATACAACTTCAAAATTAAAGCAAATGCACAAAACTGTTAGGACTGAATTTCTTGTCCTCTAAACAATTAGTCTCAAACTCAGATTTATTTTTTATAGGTTTGAAATTTTGCCTTAAGGATTAATCCCACTAACATTCATTGATAATTTATTATGGAATAGGCACTCTCCTAGGCGTTTGGGAGAAGGAAGCATATGAATGAGACAAAAATCTCTTCTCTATTGTAGCTGAATTTTATGGAACAGAGATGATAAAAATATTAAACAAATTAGTGTATGAGGAAGTGATAGCACTAGGGAAACCAAACAGGATAGGGTGGGTGGGGTGCGCCTTAGGGCTGGAGGAATCAGTTTTTAAATGGAGACATGACCTAGAAAAGTAACAAATGAAGAGAAGGAAAAGGTCCAGCTGGGAGTGAGATCTATGATATCACTTGGAAACATGTTCCTTGCAGATTAAGTGGCCAGCAGGAAGTTGGACCATACCTGACATGTGTGGGGATCAGTGTGGCAGGGGTGAAAAGAAACAGGGAAGTAGGAGTAAGAGGTAATGTCAATTCTGTAAAGAGGTAAAGATCAGTTTTGCAAAAATCATCAAAAAGACAGTGTTTTTACTGTAAATGCAATGTGAGGACCTGGTGGGGTTTTAACAGAATATGACAATATTGGAATTATAGTTAAACATATATACTCTTCTAATTTATATAAGTGAACTATATTAAGGGATGTCAGGTTTAGAGGGAGTAAAGATATTTAGTTAAGATCAAGATGCTGGTGGCTTGGATTAAGAGTTTAAACCACGACTTGTTCCCCCAGAGCAACACTCTTCCTTGAAATTAAATCATAATGTCTCTGGAAGGCTTCCAGAGTTATTCCAGTAGTTCACACAAGCGTAATCTAATCTGTTTCATTAATTGATGTATTTATTTTATAAATGCAATCAATTAAACAGTTTTAACTGTTAAATGGAGTTCAAAAGAATTCATAAGGTAATGATAAGAATCATATAAGATGCATGCACCGAACAGCATTTAGCATACAGTAAAAGGTAAGTTTTCAATACATGTTAATCACTGTTGTTAATACTATTATTAAAACAAAATCTATTACGGTGAAGAACAGGACATTTGCCTTCATTTATTTAGGTTTTCCTTAATTATTCTCAGTAATGTTTGGTAGCTGCAGTATAGCAATCTTAAACATTCCACATCAGACTTACATATAAAGCTTAAATGGCATCATTTAATACTTAAAAATTGCTATTTGTTGATACTATAAAAATATTACTGATGTTTGCATCAGAATGATAAATTCAATTGCCTTGAAATTTCTTTTATGGATTTTAATGTTTTGTCATTTTTGGGCTTTCTCCACATGCTATCATATCTTCTCCACAAATGCCAGTTTTCTTTCTTTCTTTATATATTTTATTTCACATTTTATTTCACATTTTCTTATATTTTGCACTGGTCAGAGCTTTAGTAAAATGTTGAAAGAATATAGGGTAATGGAAATTCTTATTTCATTTCTCATCTCAGTGGAGAAAGTTAAACTATTCCACCATTAAATTAAGATATTTGCTGTAGATTTCTTTTTTAGATAACTTGTATCAAAGATGCAACCTTAAAGTGATTGGAGTTTGGATTGGATGGATTTGTTTTGCAAAAGTTTTGCCTGTGAATGTTGTATTGTCATTCATGAGGGAGGCTAGACTATTATTCTTTTCTTGCATTTGTCTCTAGGTTTGCTATCAATGTAATTCCGCCCTCATAATACTAGTTGAGAAGTGTGTCTTCATGCATTCCCTCAGAAAGCTTGTGTAAGACTGCTGTAATCTCTTGTAATCAAGAAGAGATCACTGGTAAATCATTTTTTGGCCAGAAATTTTGTCGGGGAAATTTTTAAAATTTAATTTTTAATAAGAAAAAGAATCAAACTTTTTACTTCTCATGTTACATTTCATAAATTTACTTTTCAAGCTGTCACAGCATTTGACTGTTCTTGTGCTCAATTTTCTATCTGTTTTCCAGTTCATTTATATTCTTATCATTATTATTTCTCTTTGACTTTGTTTATGTTCAATCTGCCATTCTTTTTAACATGTTAAGGTGGTATTGGTATTAGTTCATTTATTATTGGACTTCTTTATTGCAAAAAAGCTGAAATTTTCTTTTATATTTAGTTGTATCCCACAAGTCTTGGTCATAATTTTATAATTATTCAGTAAACTATATTTTCTAATTTAAATATTTTTCAACTTATAGGTTATTGATATACACTAATTTCTAGGCATTTGAGGTTGTGCTCTTTATATTGATATATACTGATATCTAGCTTAATTATATGATGGTTCTTAGATGTGCTTTGTTATAAATTCTGTAAGATGCACTGAGATTTATTTCATGGTCAAACCATATATGGATTATTTCTATAAATGTTTAATATGCAATTGAAAAAGAATGTCTACTAAGCTAGCATTTGGTGTGGTATCCCATATATTTCAATTAGGATAAGGTTCATAACTGTGCTATTCAAATTTTCTATATCATTTGCTTGTTTTTTTTTTGTTTGTTTGTTTACTTGTTCTATCAGTTACTATGAGACATGAGCTAAAATTTCCCATGGTGATTTTGGATCTTTGTATCACTTGTTGTTCTTTTAGTGATTTATTTGTGTATTTTTCTTTATTATTAGCTCCAAGAACATTTGAAATTACTGTTTTCTTGACAAACTGACAACCTTATTTTAAAACGTGTCCCTGTTATTCTGCAGCAATTATTCTTGTAATAATTCTGCTTTGTCTGATATTAATATGATTCCAGATGGCCTTGGATAATTCTTATGTAACATATTATGATATTCCTTTGTTCAATCCCCCTGTATCTATATTTTCTCTTACTTAGCTGGAATCTCTTGTATATGGCAGAGTTGGGTGTTAAAGTCTTTGCTCA